ATTCAATTATTTTTAATTCAATTTAAATAAAATTATACGAAAGAATTTAATTATTTTCAAAAATTTCCATAAAATTCAATTTCAACAAGAATTTAAAATTCTCTAAAAATAATTCAATTATTATGAAAATATTCTTCAAAAATTCTATATAAAAATTAAATTACTTTCAATGCAATTTTTAAATATGTTCGTCAAAAAAAAAAAAATTGAAAGAATTCAATTATTGTCAAAAAATAATAAAAAAATTGTCATGAATTCAATTATTTTGAATATTATACTGAATTTTAATAAAATTCTTTAAAGAAATTCAATTCTTTTCGAAACAACTTTAATTGCATTTTTCGAAAAAATTAAAATTCTTAAATATCAACATAAAATTAATTTATTTTCTAAAATTTTAATAAATTCTTCAAAACAATTCAATTATTTTTATAAATTGTAAAATTCTTCGTAAGAATTGAATTATTTTCAATACAATTTTAATAAAACTCTTCGTAAATTTCAATTGCTTTTAGAATCTTTAATTAAAATTATTAAAGAAACTCCATTGGTTTAAAAAAAATTCAAATTTTCAGGGTAAAATTAGCAATTTTAAAAATAATAGAATTTAAAAATTTGTAATTTACATTTTTGTTCAAAACACTAAAAAAATCCAATTTTAGATAAATTAGAAATAATTACAGAAATTCAATTATTTTCAAGAGTGATAAAATTCTTCTCATAAAATTCAATTATCTTTCAAATTTAAAAAAAAATTCTCGTCAAAATCCCAATTATTCAATTATTTTTATAAATAATAAAATTTTTTTTAAGGAATTCAATTATTTTTATAAAAAATAATTTAAATTGGCGAAAATAATAATTGAGTTGAAATGATGAAAATAATTTTGAAAAATTTACTGTAATAATATTCTTATACTATAAAACAATGATTTTAATCACTCAATCGTCTTTAATTATTATAAAACATGAAGAAATCGATCACTTCGAGTTTTCGAATAATTTTATTATACAATTAAAGAAATTCGTAAATAAATTCGTAACAGAACATTCTTTTTGAGTAAAATTTTTTTCTTTATTTTCTAAAAATTTAAAAGTTTCAATTTCATTTTCAATTAAAATTTGTAATTGACATAAAGAATAGAATATGTAATGTTTCTTTTCCAAAAGAAAAGAATGAGTTTCTGAACAATATTGTTATTAAGAAATATAAATATTAAAATGTGTTTTTATTTTCTTCTTCTAAATAATATTTTTTTAACAATTAACATCTTTCTATTTTTTATAAATAAAAAGGAGAAAAATTTGCATAATTTAGATTAGTGAAACGAAATTTGTTATAGAAAAAAGTATGTAATAAAGAAAATTTAGTTAATAGTAATTTTTCTATATTTTCTAATTTCAAATATTGTTTTATTATAAATCGTGAAGAAATACCTGCATTTTTTTTATTTGTCAAACAATATTTTTTAAGAAAAATGAAAAAACAAAAGCATACACAAAAACTAATTTCAATGTGTGGACAGACAGAATGAAAGAATGAAATACGAAGATTATTATAGTTAATTAATAATTTTAATACAACTTTACTAAATTTCATAAAAGTTTTTTTAAAGTTTAATATTTTTTATATCAAAATTTAGATTTGTTGCACATTTTCCCCAAAAATTCTAAAATACTTTTACAAAATTTAATATATATTCTCTCTCCGTGTACTTCTATAAAAAAATTACACTACATGAAACATTTTTCTTGAAAAAGGCAAAATAAATGAAAGAAGAAAAAAAGGGAAAAAAGAAAGAAAGAAAGAACGAAAGAGAGAGAGAGAGAGAGAGAAAAATGTGATTTCTGTGGAATTTTTTTCGAAATTTTCCCTTGGCTTCACATACAATCGATGAGTGGATTGTCGCACTCGTTCGCCTCATCGAGTAATACGTGCACGTGCAATACTGTCGGCAATCGGAAGTACGTAGGCTTTATGATCGCGCGATTCTCTTCAAGTTTGGGGGGAAAATGTGCCGGACCATGTGCAATAGAAGTAGGAAGAGTGTGTGGCACACGGTGAATTTCGATGCAATCGTGTGGAACGATTGTGGTTCCTTTCTGCGAACGCACATTTCACTCTTGTGTGTGTGAATGTGTTTGGAGGGGGGGGAGGGTTAAAAAAGACCATTTCGTGAAATACTGTTAATCATGAAAAGATCCACGAATGCTGAGCTTGCCAGCTATAAACGAATTACACTCGAGAGTTGACGAAAGAGTGCTAAAACGATTATCCGAATAAGGGTTTAGGGGAGGGGGAGGGGGTTAAAATAGAATAAAAGTAAAAGACTTCTTATAATTATAAAACGCCAGACAGTAGAGAGAAAATGAGAAAATTTCTAATAGAAGAGAAACGCTTGTTTCTATCTCTTTCTTTGTATAAGTGAAGCTCATAGAGAGAAACGTTTTTACTCTCCCCCCTTTTCTTTCTTTTTTTTTTTTTTTTTTTTTTTTTGAGGGAAGGGAGAGAAAGAGGAAAAAAATGATCTTATCTTTTCTATTTCATCTTCAATCTGATTTTCAATTCTTTTCAATTTATTTTTTCTTTCCCTTTAGTTTTCATTTAATTTATAATTGAAAAAAGCAAGCTTTTGTTTCCTTTGTTTCGTTTAAGTTAAAGTAAATTTTTATCTTTTCATTTTCTTTTTTCGATTTAAGATAAACTTGTATTTTTTTTTCTTGGTCTTAATGGAATTTTTAATTGTTGTGTACAAATTACACGGAGAAAATTTGTTCCTTATATTTTACCGAATTTTTTAACAAAATTATATTATTATGTGATTAAGAAAAATATTTTATTAACCTTTTACTGATTTTCTTGACTGAAGAAATGTTGCACTGCTTTTTGAAGGGAAGTTATAATTTCATTGTATAGGTGATGCTTTTTCTGCATTTTTCTTTCTCTACCCTTGTCCTCAGAACCTGCGTCACTTTTTTAGTATTTTTTCTTTTCTCCATTTCTTTTCTTCAGTCTGAAACAAATACAAAATTAATTTTTATTACTAAATGGGAAAATATAATTATTTCCTAATGAGATAAAATTTGAATAAGTGAATAATTTACAAAATGAAAATGAAACCGAGAAGAAAAATTGAAATATTTAGAATTGAATAAAAATAAACTGTTAATTTCTAATTAGTTAATTAATTAAAAATCGTTGTCAAATAAAAATTTGGAAAAAAATATTTAAAAACGATAAAAATCTTTGAAAAGAAAAAAATTCTTCGAACAGTTAAAGTGAATGAAAGTGAAATTAATTATTAAATTAATTAGTTAATTATTAAAATTAATTTAGAAATCTTATTGGCTGTTGATTCAAACACATGATAAATGTTCTCTAACAAATATTAATTAATTAATAAGATAATAAATATTAATAAAACAAATTAATAAATATAAATAAAATAAAGTAATAAAAATAGTAACAAAAAATAATAAAGTATTAAATTAATATTATTAAAATTAACTATAATACTCGTCTTATTCATTCTTTCATTCTGTCCACACCTGAAGTTAGTTTTTATGTACCTATTCTTTTGTTTTTTCTCTTTAAAAAATTTTTTTTTTTAAATCGAAAACATGCAGGTATTTTTTCATGATTCATAATAAAATAATATTACAAATTAGAAAATTTAAAAAAAAAATTGATGATTAACAAATGAAAAATTTACCCATTTTGTTTATTATATGCTTTTTTTATAACAAATTTCGTTTGACTGATCTAAATTATGCAAATTTTTCTCTTCTTTATTTATAAAAAATAGAAAATTGTTAAAAAATTATGACTAAGAAATAGTAAATAAATACCCATTTTATGCATAATTTTTATTTCTCAATAATAATATTGTTCATCACAAACTCATTCGTTTATTTTGGGAGAAAAAACATTACCTATTCCCGTTTCTTAATATTTTTGTAGAAAATTATCAATTTTCATAAGGGAATAATTTACATTATTTCAATTTTTTAATTACAATTGTTTTAATAAAATTCAAAGTTTTTTTTAAAAATAAACGAAACAAATTTTTATAAATTCTATTTATCAATTACAAATTTTCATTCAAAAAGAAAATTTTTGAATTTTTAGAAAATAAAGGAAAAAATTTTACTCAAAAAAAAATGTTCCGTTACATTTTTACGAATTTCTTTAATTGTAAAATTATTCAAAAAAATCAATAATTTCTTTTTTAAAAAAATATTTAATTATTACTATTTTTCCACAGGAATTAAGACATTCAAAAATTCCAAATTCAAACCTTTTTGAAATTAAATAACTTATAATTTCTTCATGTTTTATAATAATTTATAATAATTAAAAATTTATGAAAATAATTGAATTATTGCAAAGAAATTTATAAAAAAAATTGTAAATAATTGAATTCCTGTGGAATTTTTAATATTTTTGACAATAATTAAATGTTTGTGTACGATTTTATTAAATTTTTTTTTAAATAATTGAATTTTTCTCGGATAATTTTATTAAAATAGTAGATATTAAAAATAATTGAAATTAGGACAAGAATTTTATTGTCATTTTTGAAAATAATTGAACTTTGGGGGAAAATTTTGTTATTTACAAAGATAATTGGGATTTTGACGAGAGTTTTTTTTTTTTAATTTTAAACATAATTGAATTTTATGAGAAGAATTTTATTAACTTTTGAAAATAATTGAATTTCTGCAATAAATTATTTGCAATTTCTCCAAAATTGAATTATTTTAGTGTTTTGAACAAAAATTTGAATTTAAAATTTTTAAATTCTATTATTTTTAAAATTGCCATATTGGATCCACCATTTTGAATTTTTAAAATCTCACATGCTCTTATAAAAGTATACAATTTTTTCACATCATCATCGAATTTGCTTTTTTTTTTCATTTTTTTTTAAATCAGTAAAATTCTCGTAATTTTTTTATCTCAACTTTTTTTTCACCCGACACTGTTTATTTTTTTTCAGGTGGTGCAAGCTGCCTTGGATAAAGCAATGGAGGGAAGGACCTGCATAACCATCGCTCATCGATTGGCCACTATAAGGAACGCTGACGTGATTTGTGTCCTGGAAAAAGGAACCGTCGCCGAAATGGGAACACACGACGATCTCATCGCAGCCGATGGCCTCTACGCTCATTTGCACAATCTTCAGGAAACTGCCATGGAAGGGTAAAATCATTGCGGTTCACAAACAAAAGTTTTTTTTTTTCTTCATCTCACCAAGAAAATGCGGAAAAATATTTTTCTCACTCTATTTTTTAACATATCTGTCTCTCATTTAACTCTATAGAAATTGATTGCCCGTTAAAAATATGGAAAAAAGATTTTTTGTCCGAAAAGAGACAGAAAAAAAAATTCCCCCCCCCCCCTCTTCTTCCTCTGTCCTTGAGTATATAATTAGGAAATGTAGAAATCCCCGGTAATTATAATTTTTTTTTATTATTCCCTGTTATTCCCGATAATTATGCTTTTGAAAAGCTCTCGGGTATAAAAGTTTTTTTGGGGGCCAATCTGAAAATATTGTTTTATAAAACTTCAGTGCCTTCACAAATTGATAAAAAAAATATTTATATTTGTTATTTCTAATTTGAATATGTTTTCTTTCTTTTTAAATTTTAATATGTTTTCTTTCTTTTTAAATTTTAATATGATTGTTTTTTTTAAATTTAAAATATTTAAATAAAATTTTTTCTTTTAAAAAGTTTAAATATAAATTCTTTTTTGAAACTTAAATAAAATAATTTGTTTTTTGAGATTTAAAAATAGTAATTTTTTCGAAATTTGAGTGTAATAATTTTTTTCTTTTTTGAAATTTATAAATATAGTAATTTCTTTCAGATTTAAATAAGTTTTTCTCTTTTTAAAATTTAAAAATAGTAATTTTTTCAAATTTTTTTTTTTTAAATGTAAATATAATAATTTTTTGAAATTTGAATACAATAATACTTTTATGAAATTTAAATTAATTTTCCCGAAATTTGAATACAGGACTTTTTTCAAAAATTCAAATATAATTTTTTCTCCTTTTCGAAAATGATAATATTTTTAAATTTAGTTGGTAGGTGATGAAAATAATTTTTTCATGACGATGCGGGCAAAATGCTAAACAAGAAAGTGTTTTTTTTTTAAAAAAGGTTTGCCTGCGAAAAAATCAGTTTTCTCTGCTAAGAAAAAAAAAAGTTGCCAAGATTACTTTAATGTAATATTCAAAACGGTTTCTCCTTCAGTTTTGCTTCTTATACTGTATATATACCTCGATAAACTTACTCTTCATGACTTTGTGCCATCCGGTCGCTAGAATATTTTATGTTTAAGTGCAAAATTCAACGGCAATTTCTCAACGATAAACTTATTTCCTAACAAGTTTTAGTCGACGACTATTTAAAAGTAATTCAGAATTAGTTTTTTGCAAAAAATGGGGTAAAATTTATGTTATAACTTGTATATCGTCAAATTTTGTCAAACTCAATTATGAAAGTCAATTATTTTTAATTTTCAATACCCTACGTGTCATTTAGTTTTTGTTTCGTAGAAAGTTTTTAATACTTTATTTTTTACACTAGAAAAAATTTTCTTTCATGTAAATAAATATTCGGTGTTTACTTGTTTATTTAATAGAATGTATTTGTTTGTGTCAAATATTTATTTACGTAAAAACAATGAAAATAAATAAATTTAATTTTTGACTGTATTTTTTGTTACAAATAAAAATTGAAAAAAAAGGTAAATTTAATCTCTGGATGTATTTTTCAGTTTGGATAGAAAAAAATTAATAGGACCTAAAGAAAAGATAATTTAATAAATATTAAAATTTTTCAAACATCTCTTCATTAAATTGACAAAATAATTTTTAAATACCACCCGAAATTTTTCAAAAATAAAAAATTAGTAGAAGAAAAAGAAAATAATAAAAATTGGTTAAAAAAATGTTAATATTTCATTTTATGTAAATTTTACAATAGGAAAACTTTTTTGAAAGTTTCTTTTTTCGTACTTAAAATTTCACAAAAGAGAAAATAAAATAGGTAAATTTGAAAAATTGGGTAAATTAAATAATAGAATTTTTTTTCTTCTCTATGAACTCTTTTCCCTCTATCAGTAAAATTTGAGGATCTTTTTTCCAAACCCCAGGACGAAAAAACATTTCCAAGTAGGTGCTCTTCCCTATGTATTTCCACTTGGTGGTGCGAATCACAGTGTAGCTACAAAGTAAGCTAATTAGTAGTCTCGTTAACGAAGGGCCTTCATTAGAAAATTGTGCCTTCCACTTTCATTTCCAATCAGCTTCCAATACTTATAGAGTTCTAATTTAATCTCGAGTTACAGTCGATTCTCATTTCCCGAGTCACAAGAATTAATTCATTTTACGATTCAGAAGAAAAAGAAAAAATGATTTTGAAAGAAGAAAACGTAAAGTAATTTTAAAAATAAACAGCACATAATTACTTATCAAATTGTTATTTAGTTTTTAGATAAAAAAAATTTTTTGTTTCCTCTTCTCGTTTTTGGGGAAATTATCTTTAATTTTTTTGAAAATAATTTTTCATTCTACTTTTTTAAAATATTTTTTGTACTTATTTCCTTTATGATTTTCTTCTGTTTTTGTTCTTCTTCTTCTTTTTTTATTTTTTTTCTGTTTTTGTTCTTCTTCTGTTTTTTTCCCTTCTATTTTTTTCTTTTATTTGTTTCCTTCTATTTTTCTTTTATTTTTTATTTTCCTTCTGTTTTTTTTCTGCTTCTGTTTCTATATTTTCTGTTTTTTTCCTTCTATTTTTTCTTATATTTTTTATTTTCCTTCTGTTTTTGTTCTTCTTCTTCATTTTCTACCTTTTGTTCTTTTGTTTTCTGTTGTTTTGTATTTCTTATTGTGTTTTTATTCTTGTATTATTTTTCTATTTTCGGAAAAATTATAATTTTGAAAGAACTTTTATTGTTTTTTTCTCTAAATTTTCTTTCTTTATTTCTTTTTTCGTTCCTATTTTTATCCTTTGTTCCACCATTTTCATTTATCAAAATTTTGTGCTTCATAAAAAATTATCCCTCTATTAAAAAAAAAAAAAAAGTTAAGAAGTATAAAAAATGTCTCCCTCAACTGTGATTGAATTAGAATTTTAAATAAGTAAATCAGAAAGTAGATAGAAAAAAAATGTGGAATAAGATTGCAGGTGCCTTTTATATTATCACATCTTATTCTCAATCAATTTTAAGAACTACTTAAAAATAATTATTACTGCGATAATTATTACTGCTTTGCCGCAATGACAATATATTTATAGTCATTTTATTAATAAGATGGCGTTCGATTTTTTTAATTATTCTAGAGAGATTTAGCATTGTCAGTTAATTATAAAAATATTTTGTTTAATAATTCCTATAGAAAGTTATATATATTTTTATCAAGTTTCAACTGTATCCGAATTCTCAAGTGCTTTCGAAAAATAAATAAATAAAAAAGAAAAAAAAAGAAAAATTATTACGAAATATTAATAGAAATAGAGAGAAAAATATTAAAAAGAAAAGACATATTGTGAATCAAAAAGAAAAAATTGATAATCAAAGTTTATGGCAAATAACTGATTATGGAATCAGTGCCTTAAGGAAATAATGTTTTAGTAGATTTTTTTTAAATTTAATTCGTCTATTATTTGTTTATAATTCGGGACTGTATTTTTGTCAATAGAATTTGTAGTTGCGAACAAAATATATTTGTATTCGATAATAATGTCGTAAAAATACTTTAATTATGGATCTTTGCTGTATAATCAACAAAACACTTTTTTCCTACTGTGTCAAAAAGTATATTTTTTCAAAAATATTACAAAAAAAAATATTCTCAAGAATAAAAATTACTTAAAAATATTCCCAAAAGTAATTTTCGTATCTTTACAAAAATTGAAATTTAAAAACAAAATCCATCAATTTTACTAGTTTTAACGAGTAAAATTGGTGGACAGAATACAGAATCTATTTTTTTAAATTTGTATTTTTGACGCAGCAGCTGAAAAGTGTTTCACGACTTTTGAAGCGTCAATCAAAATAAATCGTTTTCTTGTAATGAGAGGCAATTTTTATTATTATTATTATTATTTTTTTTAATTAACCTCTCAGTACGGTCGACTTGATAAAAAAATGAACTTTATATGAGAGCAAGATGCACACAAACATACAGTGATACTAGCAGTATGTCTATGTGGAAGTATTAAAAGAAAAAAAAAATTTTTTTTTGTTATGTGTAAGAATAAATTTATATTATATTCTCGAATTGTGCGCGCGTGTATATATGTCTTTTGTGTGTATGAGTGAGTTGAAAAAGAAAAACGTTTACAAAAAATGCGCGTGCGCGACGAAAAAAAAATTATATTTGTAGTGAACAGGGGGAGAATGTAAAAAAATATATATATACATTTTTTTGCGAAATAAATAAAAAATTATACAAAAAAAAAATTAAAGTTATTTGTTTTTACTGTCTAGTAATTTTCCTTCCTTATGATTTTTTTATTTGAATAGGTACATTTTTTCTAATATAAAAAATTAGATGAAAAAAGTTTCTACATTTTTTTTTTATTGCTTTTAATATTCATTTATCTAAAATTTTAGCTGAAATTAATTTAATTAAATAATTAACGAATTAACGAATCAAGAAGTAAAAATATAAATACGTAAATCACCAACTCGCTCTTTTGCTTCAGATTCAATTTCACATTCGCAGAAAAAGAACAAAAAGGCAAAAAGGTAGAAAATTTTTTCGTTCAGAATTAACAAGCGAGTAAAAAATTGTATCAATCGATGAATCACGAAAATAATGATAAACTTTTACTTTTCCCTTTTTTTCGGCAATTTTTATTTTACTATGAAAACAAATATCTGGTAATACAATCGTCAGTTTTCCTCACTCTTTACATACCTACATATATATATTTATAAATATATCTATACGTGAAAAACACGTTATGAGGCGACGTGCTGTCGAGAGTAGACTGAAAACTCAGTTTGGCAGGGGAATAAGGCTGGAAATTTACAAATTTACGAGCAAAAGAGAAATGTAAAGTGGAAATGGAAAGCCAACAATGGATGGTTTTATAGAAAAGTTGAAAGTTTTTACATAAACTTTTTCATCTTTATACAAAAACAAAATCACAAAAAAAAAGGAAGGAACATTGAAAAAAAAAAATTTGTACAAATATACACGATTATGTGAATTTGTGTATATATATGCCTGTGTGAGTGTGTGCTTGCGCCCGAGAAATAGTAAACTCGAGTAAAAAAGTTAATTATTCTGAGGCTTGGCATCAATTTATCTTTTTCTTTTATTCTACAATACAGTATTCATATCAAAGTTTTTAACTCAGCTACTCTTATTAATTTTATAATAATTTTGTAAATAATTATTATGATAATTACAACTTTTTTTATTTATTCCAAAAATTTATATTTTTTCTAATGAGAAAGAAAAAAGAAAAAATTCAGACAAAGATTCGTTTAATATATCTTCTCCCTTAATTTGCATTTTCTTTTTTCTCTATTTCTTTTGAGTTTATAATTTTTTTTTCGTGGTGCTTTTCTGTTTTTTTTTTTTTTTT